CTACCCGCAGTTTGGTGAAGGAACTTTGCTCGCGCCAAACTCCGTGATGCAGGAGGTAAGACGCCTGAGATTGATCAGGAGTATCGAGAGGAACAGGAACCATATGTCCTAAAGACTCATATTCTTTAAGGAAATCAGAGTAGGTTTCCTTGAAATGCCCATCGGTTTTGAATTTCTTGAGAAGTCTTTCAAGGCATCTCRTGGCAAGAGACCTTGAATGCCCCAAGGTGGATATGTCTTTCGAGAACGGCAGGCGAACCATGTAACGACCAGTTGGCAATCGAGAGTGCGTACTAACAAAGTGCTGCTCGCATTGCGATTCAGCGAGACTCAAGGTTGACGCGGGGGAAGATGAGACTTCTTCCTAAACCCAGAATTTTGTTAGAGCTTTGTAAAGAGATTTGTTAGAGATAGCATGGCAAATTTTGAGAAGATCGACCTTGCTCGGGCTGGAAGTTGCGCCTAGAACTGCTGAACCGAACTTGGTGTGAAAGGCTAAAGGTTCTGAGTCGCCTTCCATAACAAGGCGAGAGGACTTGAGAACTCTTCTCAGATTATCAGCACTAATGAGAATGTCAATGTGATCTGGAGTGAAAAAGTCAGGATCCGCTAATTTAAGGGATCTGAGATGAGGCTAATCTTGCTCTGATATTACAGACGACGGCAACTGAGATGTGATTTTTGGCAAAATGAATGCCTTAAGATGAACCCGAGATGACGAGTATGTCGATTGGAGGACCAAGGAAACTTGACCTTGGGTCGCTCCTCGAGATGTACTACACACACCCTGGATAGAAATGTTTCCTGGAGAACGGCTAAGCTTTAGCTTAGCTATGATTTTAGAGGAGACTAAAGTCAACTCTGATCCAGGATCAATGAGAAGACGTACTAATTTAGGCGATCCATTTGAAGATATGGCAAAGGCTTTACAAGTAGCTAAGAGTACTGGAGCTCGAGAGCACGTTGAAAGCGACGAATTAGACGAACGATCGATGTCTGAGATAGGTGACGAGAATCTGACTCGTTTGGTTGTCTGAGAGGACCTTGAGGAAGATGAGATGGTCGATTTTAAGATGGATCTGAGAGGACGGTGTGGGTAATGAGATGTCCTACTTACGCCTCATTCTGAGGACGCCTTTTTTAAAGAGTTCTGAGAAAAACTCTTCTTGGTAAGTATGGACTTAGGTAGAGATGAATGAGTGGAAGATGACTTGTGAGAGGAGCCATGAACAGAAGCCTTTGGTTGGGATACAGGTCTCGGAGTCGATGTAACGGAAGTGGATGATGATGACTTTGGACTAGAGGATCGGCGATGAGATGACTTTTTGGAAGATTTACGACGATCCTCTCACGGTGACTCATCATACGATATCCGTGAGCCCTGCGAGGACGAGACTCTCTGAGATGTCTGTGTTGTCTCTGAGAGAGAGCTTGAAGTCCTTGAGATTGGCAGCGATGATCTTGATGTAGAATGAGATGTCCTAGACGATGTTAGAGGAGATGTCCTAGACGATGCTGGAGATGTCCTTGAGATTGGAGGAGATGTTCTGGTTGTAGGAGGAGATGTCCTTGACGATGTCGGAGGAGATGTCCTTGAGATTGGAGGAGATGTTCTGGTTGTAGGAGGAGATGTCCGGGACGATGTCATCCTTTTCTCGGGATGTATGAGCGTAAGGTGCCAATCTCCACACTGGTTGCATCGCCTAGTACTCCTACATTGCCTTACGTTATGCCTGCCCAAGAAGTTATAACATAGGCGCGATTCTGCTATGACCTTCTCCTTCTTCTGTTGAKTTAACTWCCTGAAGAGAGGGCAAAAGGCGATGTAGTGCTTATTACTACAATAGCTGCAGTTATTGGAGAGGTCGTTGATAAACGGCAAAGGATGTTTTCCGATTGGCTTTTTATCTACTGCCAATTGAGATGATCCGGGCTTCTGAGATGTCTTCACAGGCGTGGTAGCCACAGCCTTCACGTTCAAGGCCCTGGCATAGGACCTTATGGGGGATGACGTTGAGATGTCCTTCTGCCTTCCCCATAAGCCTTACGAGTCTCGATGTGTTCTAAGGCTCCGGCTGTGCTAGTGAGATGGCTCATTAGCCTTGCTAATGGTGGGAACTCGCGTGACGTTAATATACTTGTCTCCCAATCCTCGCGGGTTCTGTCATCTAATGCCAGCCCCACCTGGTGGACTAGGATGTGGTCCCATTGGTCGACCGGGCATCCCAATGTCTCCAGTGCACTTAGTGACGATGTCACGAGATTGATGATCTTGTTGAGAGATCCAGATGACCTTTCCTTAATGCGAGGAAGAGCCATTAACCTATCGAGATGGGCGAGTATCAAAAGACGCTTGTTGTCGAACCTGGTTGACAACCGATTCCATGCGACTGCGAAGAAATCTACAGACAGTTTCAGGTTGGCCACCACCTTAGCTGCCTCTCCCTCTAGGCTGGTCCTTAAGTAATGGAGTTTCTCAACCTGTGAGAGGTCCGGATTGTCTTTAACCACGGAGGAAAATAATTCCTCGAAAGGCCTCTATTTTGAGAAGGCCCCGGAGAACTTGGGCAACGAGATATTCAGCAGTACCGACCGCGGACGAGATTGCGGCTGAGGCATTGCTTGCGATGCCTGCCGAGAGAGCTCCTCTATGCGTTGATTTAGCAGCGTAATTCCGGCTAAATATATTTGCATAGTAGCGTCATAGCGATTGTTCTTAAACTACGGCTGCTCCATTGCCGTTCTACGAGACGATGACACTATTCGGTCATGTTCCGCAATTAAATTTCGCCCAAGTCGTTTGGAGTAGTTCTCTAGTCTCCACCGCGGTGGAGAGGTCCATAGTAAGAACGTCTTTTGCATTGGCTGTCAGGCTCGCGACCGTGCCAGCTTGCGCCTCCTGCAGTGTTAGTCTCGCAGTAATGATTTGATAGGATATGATGCGCTGTTGCTGGTCGAGACGATTATGCAGTAGTGGTGCTGCCAACACTACTCCCGAGATGAGGTGACGTACGCTTCACTCTCCGTGAGTGGGGAGATAACGAATATTCCTGAGTGCTACATGCCCGCGCCAACTAGATTACTCCTAGCTAACTAGAGGCGTTAGAATTCTTTGAACTGATTTTCCTGTCGCCGCACAACGTCCTGGGTGCTTAGCAATGCGACAGGGGTTGTACACGAAACATTACACAAATGTTAAATATTGTTACACTCACAATTAATTCTAAGATCCGGCTCGAAGGACCAAAAAAAATGTTCGAGAATAGAAAGATTAGTAGATTTAAATGAGATGCTCTAAGAGAAGACAAGGAAATAGGCGAGATAGGCTAGTGGACTGTATAAATGAGGAATTTACTGGTAGAATTTGTGTGTAACAATATTTAATAAATATTATGTACAGAAAAATAGAGATAGCGAAAGTATAATAGATTTTTACAAGCAGTAATAGATGAGCTACGCTACGTGTACCGGATATCACGCCACGTGTACCAGAAGTACGTAGCACAAAAAGCCGTTAGAACAAAAAAAAGGAAAATGTGATAATGAGAAACGTAAGAATTGATGAAACGCAGAGTACAACAAAAATGAGAGGTCAGAACGAATAAAGAGAGGTTCAGATTAGAAATAAAGGTTGTAAGATTACCTGAGAAGTCGGTAATGATAGAGAGTATAAAGAGATAGTCTAGATGAGGAAAAGCGAGATGAGAGATGAGATGGAACGGTGAGAGAAAAGAATTAAAGCGAGATGAAGACTGTGAGATGAATTCACAAATTTCAGAGATTTTTAAATATACGTCCGCACTGTTTAACTTCGTAAAAGATTGTGTCGGACCACGCCAAATTTCGGTTCGATTAGAGGAACAGAGCGGTAGTGGAGAAAAGACAATACACCAATTAGCGAGTTCCACGCTGGGAAGAAATGTCAAACAATCAATAGGAAAGTAATACACAGAGGATGACGACACAGGGGACCAATGACCTATTGACACGTCAAGTGGCGTGATCCCTTGATCAATAGAAACAATCGATATGTCTTCTTCTCAGCGATAACAGACGGCGCATTAATCATGCTAGCCAAGAGGTGCTGCTATATAGTCTAAAGGGCGCAATTTTCGAAAAAGTGCTACTTAAAAGAAGCTATAAAACGATTTGTTTTAAGCTTTAAAGCGTATACTTACAAATAAAATGTGTTAAGTCCGAAAGAATTTGGCAAGCATAATTAATATTTAGACTACTGCAGTCGAAGAAAAGAACAAAAATCATTTTATTACAACTTTTTTCAGTTACTTTAAGTGTAGAATTAAACTATTTTTCATCAAAATTTGATTGTAGTCAATTAAACATCTATTCTGTTTAGTTTCTAATAGCAAATTTTTACATTCGCTAAAAAATTTTTTTATCTATTTAAGAAAGTATTCGCGACTTTCTACATTAAATAATTGTTGAAAACTATCAAATTTCTAAAAAAGTGCTGTATAACATATGCTATAAAACGTATTCTTTAAAGTTTTAAAGCGTGTACTATCAAATAAAAAGTGTTTGGTCCAATAAAAGGGTTTAGTTTCTAATAGCACATTTTTACATTTGCTAAAAAATTTTAATATATTTAGAAAGAAATTTTTGCTACTTTCTGGATAAAATCGTAGTTAAAAATATAAAGTTACTAAAAAAGTGATTTATACGAAAAGCTACAAAACGTTTTCTTTCAAGTTTTAAAGCGTATACTTACAAATAAAAAGTGTTAAGTCTAAAAAAATTTGGCAAGCATAATTAATGTTTGGACTCCTGCAGTCGAAGAAAAGAGAAAAAATCATTTTATTAAAACTTTTTTTAGTTACTTCACTTGTAGAATTTCACTATTTTTTACAAAATTTGATTGTAGTCAATTGAACATCTATTCTGTTTAGTTTCTAATGGCACATTGTTACATTCGCTAAAAAATTTTCTAATCTATTTAAGAAAATTTTTGCTACTTTCTAAATTAAATAATTGTTGAAAACTATTAGATATCTAAGGAAGTGCTGTATAACATATGCTATAAAACGTATTCTTTCAAGTTTTAAAGCGTGTACTATCAAATAAAATGTGTTTAGTTTAATAAAAACAAGCAAATAACATTTAAATTTTAATAACTGCAGTTCAAAAATAAGGAAAAAACTATTTTTTTGCAACTTTTTTGGGATACTTTACGTGAAGAATTCAATTCTTTTTTAACGATACTCGGTTGTAATCAATTAAACATCTATTCTGTTTAGTTTCTAATAGCACATTTTTACCTTCCCTAAAAAATTTTTTTATCAAGTGAAGAAAATTTTTCCTGATTTCTACATTAAATAATTGTTGAAAACTATCAGATATCTAAAGAAGTGCTTTATAACATATGCTATAAAACGTATTCTACCAAGTTTTAAAGCGTGTACTAACAAATAAAAAGTGTTTAGTCCAAGAAAATCCAGCAGATAACATTTATATTTTAATAACTTCAGTACAAAAAAAGGGAGAAAACTATTTTATTACCAC